GTTGTAATGTGACAAAATATGGAAAAGTTCAAGGGGTATGAATACTTTTGCAAACCACTGTATTTCTGATTAAACCTGTTTTCCACACCTTATAACAGAGAATAACACTCAGGTGGGGAGGAGGTCAGCTGTGTTCTGTGATCTCTGTCTTCAGTTCATCTCAGACCCCTAGTGGCAACTCTTAACCACTTAAGAGTCCTCTGCAATGTTTCACAAGTTTATCTTTTCTTTTCTTTTCTTTTCTTTTCTTTTCTTTCTTGCAGGGACAGTAAACGATTTAAAAAAAACCATCCTGCTCATGTGATTTTTTTTTCTACATTGTGTATTTATGCAGCAACCTGCAGCGGAGCCTGATTTCTCCCACCTGCCTCCAGAACAGAGGAAGAAGAAGCTGCAGAGGAAGATCGAGCACATCAACAAAGACCTGCAGAAGGAGCAAGACCAAAGGTGAGAACATTATTGCATCACCCAGACTCTTTAGTGACAAGCAGTTGGGAGTGTTTTGGTCATAAATCAAGCCTTTTAAAGTTTGACCTCCTTATTGGTAACAAGGATCGTTGAAGGTCGAAACACCTCATAACCTTCCAGTCACAAACAGCAGATCCACACAAGAACGAAACCTTCTGAACGAGCGCATTATTTGAACACTTTTAACCCTTTCCTGCATCTGTTTGACCTCAGTGATGCACTGGAGAAGATGAAGGGTGTATACGAGCAAAATCCACAGATGGGAGACCCCTCCAGTCTGGAGCCTCAAATCACAGAAACGTCCCAGAGAATAGGCCAGCTACGGGGAGAGCTAGCTAAATACGAGGTTAAAGCACACACTGCACAAGCATATATGCAAACACTGTAATATTTTGAATGCTTTTTAAAAAAAACTTTCTTTGACCTTTTGTTTCATAACAGACGTGGTTATCTGAAGCAGGAGGAGGAGATGAATGTTCCGTCCCCATCAATAATAACATCCAACATAGGTAAGGCCTGTTTTTCAAAGGATATTCCACCAAGACCGCACCTTTTTTTTTTTTTTTGGACCCCAGGAAAAAGTCTCTGCTATGGTGGAGACTAATGGGGATTCTTTAGGTAAACAAATTCCTGCTTTAGTTTTGTTGTGAATACAAAAACTATGCACAACCACTGGTTAATGAACTGGAAATGTAATGGTTTTAACAGGATCGGGTCAAGCTGCTGCATCATCAATCTGCAACTTTATATTAATATTTATTGACTTTTTACTGGACTTTATATTTTTCCATTTCAAAGTGCTACAATATATAAGCATCTAAATTTTAGATGCTATTATATTACAAATAGAGCAAGAACTAAAAGCAGAAAAATTTAAAATATATTTAAATACTAAACTATTTTATGTAAGAATAGGAATTTAAAAATTACAATCTTTGTTTTTATTTTTATTTTATAAGATTTAGGAAAATGTCCTTATCGTGGTGTAAGGTACAAGGTCTATGCTTTATTGCAGCTTAAGCATTTTTTTTGCAAAACAGATTACTGTGATCACGACACATGTTTTAGTAGCCTGGATGGCCTTTTTGCTTCAGTAAATCACATAAGAAATAATGGGTTTAGTTTGATGAAAGGGACTAAACTGAGGAAATCCTGATTTGTGTTTCACCAGCGCCACAACAACAGACCCATCTCAGAATTTATACGCAGAGTTTGACGAATTTGAAGATGTGGAAAGTTCCTTCGGCCAGTGCACCGCTCTCTACACCTTCCAAGGTGGGTGTCACTCGGACGCTGTTCATAGATAAATCTGCTTTTATCTCCTCGTGCGTCGCTCACGTGTGTGCTTTACGTGCAGGCAACAGCGAAGGCACCATTTCCATTACGGAAGGAGAGCTGTTGACTATAATGGAGGAGGATAAGGGAGACGGATGGATGAGAGTCCTCAAAGCCAACAAAGAGGAGGGGTATATACCATCCTCTTATGTCCAGCTCACATCTTAACTTCCATCACACAGCCCGTTCAGGAGCTTTAAGGAGCTGGAGGTGAACGCAGCGTTGTTCCACATAATTGTAGCGGTTCTTTACAGCTTTTATCTCAGCCAGCAGCAGATACGGTGAGATGAATGTGAGTGATTACAAAGGCCAATTACAGTCTCATTCAAAGCCCTTCTCGCTTCTCCGTGGCGTCAAATGCTGCCTGAAAGGGCAGATTGTCACGAGTGGTGCGCTCCTTATCAAATTTAGTTTTTTAAAACGACATGTTCTGATTGTATATGTTACCTTTCTGTCTCTGTATGGACAAAAAATTTATAACTCTTTGTCAGCATCATAGCAGCTAACAGTTGTTAATGTCAGGAATTATTTAAAACATGTATTTCCAAGTGCCTTTTCTAATAACCTGCTGAATTTCTTTCTTTTTTATTTAAAGTTTTTGCTCAAACCACTTTCCCGAGTGAAGTAATGTGAGATGATTTTTTATCTTTTAACTGGAATGAAACCACTGTGCTCATGGGAATGTAAAAAAAAAGTATCTCACTCAGTCAGCGGTGATGGTAAACGCAGGGTTGATTTTTTTTCTAACCTCTCCAAAACAGGAAGGTGTTCATTTAATGCGGAAGTGAAAACAGATTTATGCCGTCCACTGTGTTCTTTCTGACGTTGACAAGAAATCTCTTGTCCCCAATTTATGTTTAAACCATTTTTCAACATTTTGTTTTTTAACAGAATTTTGCATTTGTGAGTCACATCCTCTGCACCTATCTTAAAAAAAAGAGCAAAGAAAACTATCTCAACTTCAAACTATGTTTAAAACAGTTTGAGACATTAAAGGTCCTATTTTTCCAGCCATAGATATCTTCATTAGGAGGACAACCTTGTCAACATAAATAAGGTAAAACAAAAAGGTTTAAAGGTAATAATGTCACTAGATTTACCGTACCCTTGTTACACTCAAAGGTAACTGTTTTGTGCATATTTTTAAGCAAAGTGTGGCAAAACCAAAGAAAAAGCACAATGTTGTCAACACTGCTCTGGCTTTAATAAATCTCGTTTTCTGTTCAGTAACACCAGACAATCAGTTTCTATTTGTCCACAGAAAAGGCAGAACCTTTAAGAAGCAGTTCCATGTTCGATGACAAACTGGTTCCTCTATGTAGTTCCTAAACTTTGCTGTCAGGAGAAAAAACATCTTTATACAGCTTAACAAACATGATTATGTCAGAGCTAATGTGCAGCGAGTCGTTAACCAACTTCACAAGTAACTCTGAACTGAGGGATCTGCTGAAATGCAGGTTCATGGGTCATTAAATGAAATGTTTGATATCTGTTTAAATAAATCACTTTAGAAACTTGCAGCATRTTTAATCTGTGTAATATATTGAGATTAATTTGTTCAGATTTTTTTTAAGGTAAGCTGATCGAACACTGACCAAACTGTTTTTGAACTTTTAGTCTGTGGAAATGTATAAAACTCTTCCAAAATCCTTTGCTGTAATGGATATTTTATTGGAAAAAATCTTAATAGAAACCATGTTGCTCAACCTGTACAATAAGCTACACCTGGATACAGGAATATTAGAGATTTGTGATTCATCTCTTGATGTGGAACTTTGAAAAATAAGGATTGGAAATCTGCACCAAGCTATTTTTTTAAAGCTATGTTAATGTTTACTCATCACTTCCTCAAGAACTTCCCCCTGGAAATGTTTTATCAACCTTTAACAACTTATTGTATTTTTTTTTTCAAAGTCTTTATTTACTTGTATACATAAAGTGAAGAAAGAGTGTGTTGTGTGTCTTTTTAAAGACATTATTTATTAGAAACAAACATAAAAGTAAGGGTTTGTTTTAATAGTGCAATAGCAAACCAGTGATAAAAAGACTTGGTTCAGCTCAGAGTTTAAAACCGGACCGGTGGTTTGGACTGATCAGACACTAGCTGATTCTAAGAAATATACATTTTGTAAACAGATTTCCTGTAAAAGGGACAAAAAAAATCAAAAGCTTTTCACAGTTAAAAAAAAGTCTGCAAACACATTTCAGTTAAGCAGATACGACAGTCTCATAAAAACAAAAAAATCAGATTTTTCTGTAAACAGTTTTTTTTATATAAAAAGGCACTGAAGATCTGCAGAGTTTCTTTCAGTCTTTGTTTTTTACTTTTTCCTCTCGTGAGGAAAAACCTTTGACATCAGGGTCCACTTGGTGACGCAGATTCAGGCTGAAGGGTCCAGTTTTTGTGTGGTGATCTCCTCAGGCTCCAGTTTATTTGACAGGACGCAGAGAATCTTCTCAAACTTCTTGTATCGCTCTTTCTTTTCTGCGACCGCCCCGTGCTGACCCCAGAACAGCCGCAGGGCAAACTCGGTCCGGAAAGTCTCCAGCAGCTCAGGGATCGGCTCCCAGCCTTCTGTTGAGTCAGTGGGACAGACGATCAATCAACAAGGTGTCGGTGTTTACACCACATGCAACAGCAACACGATAAATGAAACAAATGTTTGTAGTAACACTGATGCATAGACAACCTCCTGATTCTCCCCTAATTTTTTTAAAAGTCTTAAGAGGTGGATGATTTGTTTGCACCTGTAAGGAGAGAGTGTGCATGCTGTTGGTAATCCTGGGCGTGTAAGGCGGCACTGCGAGCTGATTGGAGGACATCGTAGAGCACCTGACAGCCCCGGTCGCTGTTTTCAACGGGGTCCTCACCCTCCATCACCATTAATAAAGGAAGCAGGTGTGGCACAGAAATCGGACCCTGGATGACAGAATCTGAAGACAAACAGTCAGATTTAGAGATTCAGAGTCCCATTCATGCAGCTTTTTACTTTATCAGGGGAAGATCATTAAAAATGCCACTTATTTTAACAAAAAACTCCAAAACTCTGAAAATCATTTCCCTTTTTTGATAGTGGCCTATATTTGTAAAAGATAGAACTTTGCATATCACCTGTCACCTTGCACATTTTAAACGTTTAACAAACTGTAGGAACACTTCCACTCACCATCTCCCTCATTCAAAGAGTTCATAAAGGGTTTGAGTTTCTTCTCAAATAAAACAGCACTCTCTGTGTGGTTCCTCCTCAGAGCACGCCATGTCATCTCCAGGCGCACTATCTAAAGATGTTTAAGCARAGGAAAACGAAATTCATGAAAAGACAAAAACGTATAAATAAAATATCACTTTAAGTTGTCTCAACATCTGTGAGAGAAGTTTTTTTTTTACCTGAGGCATCTCCAGAGCCTTCATGACGGCTGAGAAGGAGTACAGGTTGTGGGTGTGTTCTTTAAGAGCCTGAGCCAACAGGATGATTTTGTGCAGAAGAGTTGCTCTCTGACTCAACGTCCCCGTGCAGCCCAGGAGGTCTACTGCCACTCCCAGGGATATTAGGTGATGCCTTTAATGGAAAGTAAATGTATCTGCTCAGACAGGTCAATCCAAAGCAATAAAGTGTTCCACTCACTCTAAATGATTCAAATAATTACAGGAAAAGGGACAATTGTTATTTTTTTATTAGGCTTGTCTGCAACGTGTACCTCTCCAGCAAATCCTGTCGTAACTGGTGTCCATGTGGGAGAGTGACCAGCTCCAGCCCCGAATTTACTCCCATAATCCCCCTCTGCTCATCAGTCACCCCGACAACTCGTGCAACCTGCAAAATAAATAAATAAATAAAAACAATGATCGATCAAGTCTGCCAGGTTTTACATCTAGTTACTTCAGTAAAACATAGTTTTTTTGAGTTTTAAAACACGTGGTTCTGATGGAGGGTGTCCCCCGCCTCTCACAGTGACCCAAAAAGGAGAAAGTGTGTATAGATATTGGATGAATTGAATTTTTATTTGTTTATTAACTTTTATTTAACCAGGAAAATCCCATTAAACACTATTTTCACTAATAAACTTCTATCAAATGTGTCAAAATATAATACTTAACTTATTAACCTTTATTATTTTATATTAACCCTTACTTATTATATTTTAAAACAATATAAAGATATAAAATACTAATCGGTTTGCAAATCAGAAGTATCAGAAGCTTATTAAGCATTTCATAAGACTTGTCTAAACTTGTCAATTCCTAAACCGTCCATTTGTGAAACTAAAAACAACTATACCTGTTACTGTTTGTGTTTAGCAACAAAAAAAACAAAAATTAACATTAAAAAGATTGTTTGAATTTACTGTGTAAGAAATCTACCAACATAAAAATCAGAAAATCTGAGTTCCCACTCATTTCCCATGAAATGCAGCGCAGGGACTAGTTCCTGAAGCTACCTGGCAGTCCACGCTGAGCATGTGCAAAGCCAAGGTGTTGGGATCTGAACGGCTGAAAAGCTCTTTGACTGCGAGCAGAACGCTGGACTCCAGAGGTCGGTTGTTGTCTGGCAAGAGCAGCGAATTAAACTGGTCCAACTGGAAGCATGACGTTGTCTCGATCTGTAACGGTCAATCGCATAAATCAATACATTAAAAAAAAGGCACAGCTGTGATAAAATTTGGTTTTGTCATATAATAAATAAGACCTTAAGGGGTGGTGTTCTTGACATTTTTGGCTGTTTTATTTTTCAATATTTTAATGTTTCAAAATGTGGAAAAGAGACAAAAATCCTGCACAAATAATTAGCAAGCATCTGGTAATTATTTACCAGATTTCAGTGTGTATTCTCATCCTGCAAAAAGTTTCTTTGTCCAACCAAAATCTAAAGCCATCATGCACACTCTGCTCTCTTGAGGTTCATTTTTGATACTATTTAGTTTGAGGACTGATGGTCAAAACCCATCATTAAGCATTCCTATATGTATTGAAAATCATCAGCATATTTCAGGAAATCATTCTTTAGCTTCTTTAATGTGAMGCCTAAGGTATTTAAGTTTGTACTTTGTAACCAGCATAAAATTTTGATAGCATCACTGGTTGCAAAACAAGTTAATCTCATCGTCATTCTTGTGCTCAATGATCCTGGATTATTATCATACTGAGTATCTAAAAATAAAAGAAGACTGGGAAATGAACATCATAACTTGTTTGGGACCAGCAGTCTGGATTTGGAAGCTGAGATTTTTTTTTTTGCCAGCAGCCGTTTGCAACATTGTCTCATTTAATGCAGATTTAACGACACTTTTTACAGATTACACAAATAAAAAATGCAATCAGTATGCTTTCAATCAATAAATAATGGAATCGAGTTCAACAACACAACTCTAAATAGTAAAGTAAACAGATACAAACATGAGGTCGTTTAAAATGCCAGTCCTCCACTTCTCCTCCTGCCAGTGTTTTATGTTTGTGGGCCTCCAAAAACCCAAAAGACGTTTCTGTGATCCGTGCACGGCTCTGCCACTTCTCCTCTGCACGCAGTCGGTCCACGTGGCCTTTCTGCCGGGACTGTGGTACCTAAACCCAACAACAAGGAGGGGATTTCAACTTTTCACAACTATTTCATTTGATCCTATGAGGGGCCTGCTTGCTCATCCCAAAAAGACAAATACGAGACATTTTTCTACCTGTATGACCAGTTCACCGTAAAAAGACGAGGGATCTACGTCTGGGTCTGAGGGAGGGGGAGGAATGGCGCTGGAGAAAACCGTCGAGACCCTGAGAGGTTTAGGAGGAGCTCTGGGGTGCAGCTGGCCATCTGACCCTCGCAGTGTTACACCACCACCTGCAAGCACAGACAGACACTTCAGGTTCTTTTTTTTCTTTTTTTTTTTTTTTTACAGGTGAAGAAAGGCTGGACATTTTTCGGTGCCCAACAGTACCTGGATGTAGGGTCCGTGCGTGACGTGGTTGTGGGCTCAGCAGGGGTTCACTGCCGGTGCGAAACACTGGGGAGATGGGGTCAGGGATCGTGTTCTCAGACTGAGGGTTTTGTGGAACACCTGAAAAAACAACACACAGAAATGTCCAATACTATATTAATACCACTAATGTCTTGTTGTTAAAAAAATCTAATGAATGTGTTTTATTATTTTCTGTCTAATTCATAAAGGCTAGTGCCTCCTCATGATGATGATCCTTGCTCTGTGCAGGGGTCTGTAGCTGCATGACCTGGGGGCACCTGTTCTCTTGTAAACAGGTGTTCTGAACTGTAATTTCCCCTTGGGATCAATAAAGTATCATTCATTCATTCATTCATTCATTCATTCATTCATTGGTCAGAGAGGTTTGAACCATCATTTTGTTTCCATTTTTTTCAAAGGAGAAACTTTACAATACCACAAAAAAGTCTGTCTGCTTGGACACGAAGTATATAAAAAACAAGGGATAGTTTGAAACATCTGCACTGTTTGAACTTCATGTCAATGTACTCAAATGTATCTAATAAGAACTAAAAAGTACATATTCCTGATAAATTTTTTCTAACCAAATCCACATTTTCCCCCCGCAACTTCAAAAAGTTCATTTTAATTTCAAAGCCATAAAAGTATTTCACACGCAGCTGTAAACACTCTTGGACTCAAATCTGTGAAGTCTTGTGTAACAACATAAAAACAATTTAGCATAAGCTTGACTGTGTTGTAAAGTTGCTTAAGGCTCTGTCACACTAGACAACTTATGCCAACTTATGAAACATTTTTTATGACTAAATTGCTAATAAAAGTTGTGTATTTGATCAATTTGTTAGAATTACAGTACGTACACACCTAAGTGAAGCTTCCAGTTGATTTTTTTCAATTCCATCATCAACGTAGATGTCTTTAAAATTTTCATAAGTTGTCTAAAGGGTCATAGTGTGCGAGGGCCTTCACATCTATTGATGCACTCAGACACATCGTCGGTGATCATACCTTGTGTCATAGGGGGCTTTCTGGTGTTTCAACATCAGACCCCCTCTACCACACAACCCATCAGGGAGTGATTCATTCCCAGTCTGTGTCTAAGAGGCATTAACCCTCTGCCTGTCCCTCGTGATCCACAACCATCCAGAGGTCTTCTCTGCATTTTCTAAGGATGTATCACTAGCTTTTCTTTTACATGTTGCTATAACGCACAGAAGGCTGTTTGTCTTCTATGCCACACTTCAATGAGCATACATCAAGACGGGGGGGGTGACATTGTGTATAAAACTTGTTGATAACGTACCGGTTTGTAAGTTGCTGTCAGACTGCGCAGACTGAAGTGAAGGCCTCCTCTCGACATTCTCCAAGTTAGGCTGACTTCCACTCCTGCCACACATAAAAACACCATTTAACAGAATGCTTTGTTTGACAACATGCATCAGCATATTACTCAACGTTTTAAAGTTTCGCCGACCTTAGCAGTGGATTGATGACCTGCAGGGTGTCTTTCTGTGACGAGCTGAAGCTGCGTCTGATGCTGTGCCTGATCTGCTTTTTCTCCGCTCCGCCTCGGCTGCCATTTTTCAGCTCTGCGGGTCGCTCGGCGATGACACGCAGAGGAAGGGTCCGGGTGATCGGATTAAAGATAACGGCACCCGATGCCTTGGAGATGGGTCGACGGCCACCCACGTAGAACTGGATCAGCGCCGGGATGCTGTCAAAGCGATCTTCTTCAAACTGGAACAGTTCCCTGGAGTACCCCTGTCACACAGAGAGGCAGGCAAACATTGTATCAGGCAGAGGCCTTTAAAAAAAAGGAGATCAAACAGGTAGTTTATCACAAGTCAGGATAAGTCAACATATTTTTAAAAAAGTGAAATCTTTGAAAATGGGAGTTGTCTGAAAGCAGCAGCAATCCTGACTGGATTGATTGTTAGCTTTGAGGTCGACTACAGATCAACAGGGAGGATGTTAAATGTGTTTCCACAAAATACAAATTTAACAGACCTGAACAATCACTAATCAGTTCCTTAGTTTTTATTTTTGGTTTAATTTGTTGTTGTTGATCGTGAATGCAACATTTAACCGTTTATTCCAAGCATTCAGTCTAATTTAATTAACACTCTTCAGTTGAAATCAGCCTAGACTTTGATTTAAAACTGATGGTACAAAAATGTACAGATTTGAAAGGGGCAATATCATGTAAAATAAACTTTCTTGAGTTTTATATCATGTTATAATATTATACTCTCATAAAAATATGCCCAAAGCCTTGCCTTGACTCATTCATGCATGTTTGAGAAATCCTGCAGTGTTTTTAAGCAAGTAGGGGTCTCTGCAGAAGTGTTGTCCTGTGGGCGGAGACGGCCCAAATCATCATTGGCCGAGGTCTTAATGTGGGCGGAGACGGCCCAAATCATCATTGGCCGAGGTCTTAATGTGGGCGGAGATGGCCCGAGACGTGATTGGTCAGATTGACAGTGGTGTTTGAGGATGCTAGAGGCATCGGGGAGTAGCTTGATCGAAATATTAAATAAAAATATTGATTAAATATTGAAAAATATTGATTTTTAGCTATCTTTTTACAGGCTGGTTAGGGATGTTTTAACCAAGCCATATTGTTACACATCCTTTGAAGAATCAAGAATCAAAAAGCATTTATTGTCTTTCAAACACAACACCAAGATGTAAAGCAGAATGAAATTTGCAGTTTTTTCACATGTGTGACGTTCAAATTTTGTGCAGCTAGCATTTTCCTTTCTCTTTTGAGGCAGCCATGCTGAGGAGCAAAATGACAGGTAGGGACCAGGAACACCTTTTGGGACCAGAAACACCCCTGGGACGTGTCTTTAAGCCGAACTTCCTCATGGCGGAGCCCCCCGACCCCCCTCCCCACACACCCCACCCATGACTCCTGCAGGCTCTCGGGTGAAACTGTCTGTGAGCTCTCAACATTAGTTGTCACTCAGTGAAGCTCTTTTCAGACTAAAAATACCTTTGAGGAAATGTATTTTCAGATGCCAAGTAAACTGCATCATAGTCYCCCCACCCCCCGAAATGGGCGGGACAGAAGCAGAAGGTGGTTCTTAAAGCGACAGAGGCCAATTTCAAGGTGTTTAGAAGAGGAAGTGATGAGAAGATAAGTTTATTTTCTATTTAAACACAAAAACAGCATTTTAATAACAGCTAAAGGTGACATACTGTAGATACGTTATTATGATATAGTATTTAAATGTTTGCCTGAGAAACCCATAATATTACCCCTTTAATGAAATTAAAAAACTTTAATACTTAAAAGGTTCAGTCAGTGCCAATCAAAATTTCCAATATATCTTGTTTCATCAGCCAAGACTCAGAAATCCAAAGTGAGAAACTAACAAGACATAAAAATAAAAAAATTGCATGCTTAAATAACTGAAGTTTGCAGGGTGGTAAAATAATCCACGAACATACCTTTTTAGGACGAAGCACCACTTTTATGATCTTAAAGTGCATTGGACAGTTCTTCCAAAAGCAGCTCAGAACGTAGTCACCAGGAGCAGACTTTGATTCTCTGACCAGGAAGTCTCCGTCTCGCTCAAACAGAGACTCTGCAGCCTGCAGACAAGTCAGCAGGTTAACACGGTCAACTCAACACCAAGCTGTTCACTGTAGTTCACATTTAGCAGTTTTCCCACATGTAAATAAACCAACATGCAAATGACAAAAATGTTTGTCTTGCTGTCATCGACAGAATGTTTTATAATTCAGTACAATTTTTTCAAATCCCTGACAGACACAATCTGTATGTTTTTGGATTGTTGTTGTTTATCCTGTTTTTGCCTTCAGTGTTTTGGGATCTTTGTGTTTTTAGATGAGCCTGATTTTGTACCTTTATATTTTGGTATCCTAGTGTTTATTTTCTTGTTCAGTTCCCAGTGCTCTCTATGCCATTTCTCATTCACCCTCAACCAGTTTCTCTGCTCACCAGCAGTTCATGGGTTTTACATCTTTCACGGAAGCTGTGTGTTTTGTGTAAGTTTTTCCTGTGTTTTATTTACCGTTGTTTAACCAGGCAAATCCCACTGAGATCACAGGATCACAGGTCTCTTTTTCAAGGGGCCAGAAGGCAACCTACTGTACAYATTTTTGTGTTGTGGGGGAAACTCTAGTACCCAGAAATACCCCCACAATCTCAAGGAGAACATGCAAACTTTGCACAGAAAGACCCCAGGTCTGAACTGGGGGTAGAACCCAGGACCTTCTTGCTATGAGTCATCTGAGTCGTGCTGCCAAAAGTTTTGTAAAATTAAGTTTTTTATTCCTTTGGRGTTCCTTGTTCGTCAGCACTATGGGTTTGATCATTACAAAAACTGTTAACGCAGATAACACAACTCTCAGGTAGTGATATAAGAATATACACTACTGCAACCAGAAAGTGTTTTGATTTGTTTTTTGGTAACAAAACAGCAAAAAGTATATTTCATATTGCATCCTGCAGAGCAGTGGTTTGCAAACATTTTAGCTTCCGGCCCACAAATTAGCAGCTGCAGAAACATGTGACCCCAGATATTACTGGTTTGCAAACTTTAATAACCCTGTTAAACATGGACATAATAACAAAATAAACAAACCTAATAACTACAATACTGCTTGTATTTGTTTATGATTTCTTTGTTGTAGTTGTTGCAACAATGATGGTGTAAATAACAATGCACCAATTTATTTGCATTTAAATTAATGTCTGAAAATCATCTGGGGACCCTCACTTGATGTTTTGTGACCCACAGAGGGGTCCTGACCCCGCTTTTGGGAACCGCCGCTATAGAGTATTTATTAGATAAGTGTGTATTCAAATTGTGTTTAAGCAAATAATTGCACCTCCCGACTCAGCAGCCCGTGGTACCACGCATGGCTCCTCAGATCGCTGGTGCCGAGCTTCAGCTCTTCTTCCAGTTCTTTCTTCAGTAAGTCCATCTCCTTACGACCCCCGAACATCTGCAAAACGCCACAAACATCAGTTACATCGTCTCCCTGAACAGATTTTGATATAAGAAAGGGGAGAGAGATGAGGCTAATTGGTTACCCACTTACCTTGAGGTGGCTGAAGTACGCACTGATACTCCTACGCTTGCTGGAAAACAAGAGCAGGAGGGATTTGGAGGTTACCATTAAATTATGGGGGAAAAAAGGTGGGGGGGGGCTTGTTTTTGTACTGAATACAAACTGGACCGAGACAGAAGGCCAAGGTCTGCGTCTGTCATTAACACCAGAAAAACTAACAGTCATTTTCCTCTTTCCTTCCTCGCTGAGCTTCCACCTTCCTGCCTCCATAAATACATTAAATTCTCACATAAAGAGCTTAGAGCAGCTACAGGAGAGATAAACAAGACTAAAATCAACATGTATTATTAATTTATTTACCTTTATTTAACCCGGTAAATCCAACTACGATCACAGATCTCTGTTTCAAGTAAGGCCYCGGGCTAAAATGAAGCCTAAACATCTTAAAAGATTTCTAAAGACAGTTTTCTAATTTGGGTCCACCAGTATTTCTGAAAATGCTCCACAAAAGCAACAAGTTTTTTCACACTACACCAAAATTACAATACATGCATTTGATTGTTATGTTGTTTTAATCGTGTCTTTAATTGCTTTAAGTTTTTTTTTTGTTTGTTTGTTTGTTTATTCTCAGCCCAGGATTTATTTTGTTATTTTAGGCAGATTAAGATTTTTACAAAGAAAAATAAGGCCACAGTGTCTCAGAATTCTTAATGCCTTCTTCTCAATATTCGGACTTTATTCTAAAAGGTTAACAAAGAAAAATTTCCCAATTATTTTCAGCTAACTCAAGTGAAGTGCATGGTTAAAAACTTCAACATTTTAAGTACTTTCAATATTTTTGAAAGCACATACCACAGTACTTCAACTTAATTGATCATTTAACTATTTGTACTTTTATTGAAGTAATATTTCACCAGCAGGATCAGTAGCTACTTTGACGCAGGTGAGTTCATCCATCACTGCAGAGAAGAAGAAAAAAATAATAAACTTGGTCCTTGAAGTTGAGATTGTCTGTTTTTAAATGTGGGCTGTCAGCCCCTGTTGGAGGGGCGTTGGTCCAGGTAACCCACCACAAAAACACGTGCTAATGTGCTTCTGGAGAAAGTTGTGAAAACCAAACACTCATTTTTTTTTTCACGCATTTCATAACGACCACCCTCAGGGTATTTCCTCTTCCGGACACCTCAGAGGTAATAAAACAACTGCTGTCATCAAACAGGTGAGGAAAAAAAATCACTTGGATTAGTTGCGCAACAGGTAAACTGGCAACTAGGACCCAGAAACGCTGTCGAGGTTTGGAAACTACAAGATAGTTTTAAAACAACATGATAGTAAAAAATAAGCGTCCAAAAACGTGCTGACAAGCTGTAACATTAACGACCTACATTACCTGTCAGTCAGGGCGCCTCGCGGGGCTCACTCGGTCCTGGACATGTTGGTACAGTTTGTGGTCCAAACTCTCCCCACCGAAGAACAGAAGCGGTGAATGTTCTGCTTTTTTCCTCCTGCGCTGGTCCCTCCCCATACTCCCCCCCACCTCCCTGCTGCCCAGAACCGGACGAGTTCTCACAGGTTCTCCTCCTCCTCCTCCTCCTCCTCCTCCCGGTGCTGAAACACCGAGGTCTTTATCTCACATTCCTCAGATACCGACACATCACCTGGTCACAGGCAGGTAGGTGGAGAGCTGAACCGGCGACGGATCAGGTTGTTAGTTTGTTTTTTCTTCAACGCATGCATGAAGTAGTCCCCTCATTGTTTGTTTCAAACTTAACACATATAAAAGATTTCATTAAGCTCTGATGTTTYTCAGGTGTTTTACCTGTTTTAAACCTGAAAATGCACCCCAGACTCTGCACCTAATTACAACCTGGGATTTAGCTTGTTTACATCAGTTAAAATACCTTGCTATTATTAGCTCTGACAGTTTGTCTGTCTTTTTTAGCAAAATATGAACTAAATGAACTTCTCACAAAGACAGACTTACAACTGATGAACTTTTGGTGTCAACCCAATTCAAGATGGCTGCCACAGTCAAACATAAAAAACAGCTGTAGTTGTAAAGTATTTCAGATTAAATTTGGTGAGGTAGTAGCTGAGAGTCATCTCCAACACTTGGTCAGGTGCAGTGTTGTATAAAGTACCTCAAAGTGATGCTTGAGTAAAAGCACAAGTATCTTATCATAAAAATACTTTGGTAAAAGTTAAAGTCTTCTCTAAATATATTGAGTAAAAGTCTTAAAGTATCTGATATTTTTTGTACTTAAGTATTAAAAGTAAAATTCGGACACAAAATCTACCTAAGTATTAAATGTAAAAGTACTGAGTAAAAGTGAGCAGTTAGATTTTCCAAAATGACATTTATTGGGAGGTGACCTCCAAATAACATTTTTTTTCTAACAGCGTGCAGCTGTGATGGGTTGTGCACAATAGGGTTGGGCAATATTGGGGAAAAAATTAATCATGATTAATTGTGGTATTTAGCCGATAACGATTAATTTGACGATTAATCCCCTGGAGTACCTGGGGATTAATGCCCTAGTCAAATGACCAATTTAGTGGGAAAGATTTGCTCTTCGTAAAAATCTGTTCCAAATTGTGTCAAATTTACAGAGTTCAGACTTTACATCAAATTTTAAATTGTGTTGATAGGTGAATAAATTACAGAACTTTTTCTTTTTAATGTTTGTCACATTTGAAGCGGAGAGGAGCACCGAGCAGACTGATGGTGGCATTAATCGTATTAATCGTCAAGTGCCAAAAAATAATCGATTAATGTTTTTCTGACGATTAATTGCACACGAAACGATTATGCCCAAACCTAGTGTACAAGCTAATAGGGTATCAGAATGGTATATTTTTATACGTCTCATCCAACCACAATTAAATTAACTCTATCCAGGAGACAAATTATCAGGATAGTAATTTTTTTAAGTAATAACAACTTGGAATAAAATGGGAGTCACAACTTTCTACTTCTTACCTTTTTAAAAAATGTAGTAAGTAAAAAAGTACAGATAATTGTGTAAAAATGTAATGAGTAAAAGTAAAAAGTACGCTGAAAAATAATTACTCAAGTAAAGTACAGATAACCAAAATTTCTACTTAAGTACAGTAACAAAGTATTTGCACTTAGTTACTTTACAACTCTGGTCAGGTACTTTTAAAACTTGACGACCAATGTTAGCAAAATATCCTGCAAACTACTGAATGGGATTTCAATGAGATTGAAAAAAAAATAACCATTTGGTGTACAGCTTCAACTGTTTAACCTTTTAGAGTTATCCTAATTCAAGATGGCTGCCTCAGCTAATTGGGTAAGACAAAACAATAGGTATTACTCAGCCATCTTTCCAGATAGCTGTAACTGGGTGCGGTAGCAGCTGAGCATCATCCCCAAAACCTACTCTGAACACAACACATTGTGCAATTTGTTTTAGTTGAAACACTGGCGTCATCCACCACAGCTATCAACATTACCCAACAAAACACTCTARCTCAGTCAGTTTTGCACATATCCAGCAAAAACTTGGTGTGATAGTAGCTGAGTGTCATCCGCAACGTATACTTTAAGTGCTACCAGATCAGTCAGGGTGTCACAATATCACACAAGATAACGTCATCTTCAAGGTTTGACCAAAGCTAACTCGTTTCTCAGCATAAATTGGTTTTAGTCTAAAACTCTGGCATGACAGATGGTGAACAACATGCAATACTTAGAGGCGTATTTTGTTATATTTGGTACATTTTCTGACCATGACTTATCCAGACATTCTGTAAATCAGAAGCAACATTTTAGATGAAGACTTCAGTGTTTTTCATGTTTATAGGAAGCATTAGATTTTTTTTTCATCCCACTGAACTAATATCTTCAGGCAACTGTAACTGTGTAATAAAGGGAGAAGCTGTAGAAATCATGGTATATTTATTAGTTACTGTGGGCTCTTTTCCACATACTGTGATCAGAAGCTTTCATAGAGCGCTTCTTCAGGAACGAATCAGTGAGTTGTATCGATCAGTATAGAACTGTAACCAGGGCTATTGATTGACACATGACATATTCCAGCTGAATTTTCCATTCAGTGCACCTGAGTTGAGTTTGTAAAATATTGAAGATGAAATATTTATACTTTTTTTTCTTCATTTTACCTGTAAGCTAACATCTCTCTGGGGTTACATTCATTAAACACTACATCCCTTCACTTTCAAAAGCAAATAAATAGAATAAAAAAATTCAGCAGAGGACAATTTAGAGGCAAAATGTCAGTTCTTTGACTTGGGTCATTTTTTGGTTTATTGTGCCTCTGTTGGTCTATCAGTTGAAGTCAAAAGATTTGATTGGTCACAACATGTTGTTAAAATG